CGCACGTCCCGGTGTGCTTTGAATCGTATCTGAAATATGTATAATATATATATAATATAATAACGCAACGAGTTGACAATTGTTTTAGGTATGCCCGTTTGCGCTGAGATGGAACCCGGTCGGGAAAATGGCTATGAGAGGGGCACGAGTCGCTGTTCGGCTTGTCCCGGAATAACACGAGTTGGTCACGAATGACGAAAGAATTTCTCGGGTCCCCGCGGCCCATTCCGTAACGTACACAAAACCCGTTTTGGAGGCTAAATGAACGTATCGGTCCATTATGTACAAGTGTGATGGCATTGCGGATACATTGTGAGCTGGTTTCGATCAGCTCTTAGTCTGGCCAAACCAATATACACACAGAGCACGCACAGGCATGCAGGCACGCACGCACTTTCAAACACACACACGATTAATTACCACTTGTGACAGAACGGTTTCGGAACCGAACCCTAACGCCCCAACACACCCGAAACATAGCACGTGAACCATGAAATTCCTCCTTTCACATGGGTAGGGGATCATTATTGATTTTGACACTTCAGTAAAAGGTGATCAGATCTGTAATGCAGTATTTGTGATCAGATGGGGAATGCATCGTCGACAACGTGATGAACGCCTCAGGGGTATTGGTATGCTTCAAACTCGAAAAACTCAGCGATAGATAGGTAAAATGTACTAGTCCGTACTGATACCGATTTATAGTGCTATCTCACTGAGATACAATGCCGCAGTTTAACATGAATACCCCACTCAGACACAGTATACTGACTCCGAGGCGACCAGTCCTTGTTTTAGCCCCTTAATGCCGAGCGCCAGACAGGGTAACAACAAGTACCATCTTTTAACGTCTTTTGGTATGACGCGGCCGGGGCTCGAACCCCGGACCTTCCGCTCTCTGTGATTAGATGCTACATTCTCGTCGACTACGTGTTGTACCACTATCGACAAATCGACACATTCTAGCAAAACGCCAATGGCCTTTATAGCGTAGAAACTGGGGGAATCGCCGATTGTCTCGTGAAATGTTTTCAAATGAGTCCAGAATCACCTTGGACTTTCTGGATAGGCATGGGCGTGTTTGGAGGCGTCCTAACGAACGTCATGTGAACGTCAACGTAAGGCAACATGGCAGATTTCAGGATGATCCGTAATAATATGCGACGGGATCACTGTGACTGCCAGGGCGCCACTGGAAGTGTCCGTGGAAGCGTCCCCGGACAGTACCACCGAGGCAACTCCCTCCTGCAGCAAATCATCACCAGAATGCAATGGCCAGGCATGTGTCTGACTTTTCCCACATAGAGCACGTATGGGACATAATATTCCAACAATATCGATGTAGGAGATACCAGAAATTAGGTTCACGTTTTGTACCCGTGCGGGGAATCGAACCCGGGCCTTTAGTACGACGAACGAACGCTTTAACCGGTGGGGGTACCCCATCGCCACATGAATTAGACGAGCATGTATATGAAGTGCATCAACATTACTTGTTATTTTTTCAGCAATTATTGTTTTGTATCGGTCATATTTATCATGCCGTTATAGAAATCAGTCTTATGTAAATAAAACAAAATCCTTTTAAATGTCTGTTTTTATATACAGTTGGGAAACAACGCTTCATCCAGTAGGCTATCCCACCACGCTCAATGATAATATATCATAGCAATCCAGAAAAAATCTTTCAAAATTCCCCTTCAAGACATACTTGAGGTATCAAACATCCCAAATGAGTATGGAATATGTACAAAACCTTTCCACATTCATTAAAAAATCTCTGTCAAAAGCAGAGCTGATGAAACGAGTCCTACAACATCATGTGCATGTTTTTTTAATTCAGAATCAAAAAGTGATGACACCAGGTGTCCCTGATTGTCCAGACAGCACCTGTCGTAGAGCAATTGTCCAGATGAACATATGTCCAGATTATCGAATCATATAAACGGGTTAATATCATCATGAATATATGTATACTCACCCACCTAAGCAGTCATACTGAAATCTTCCATGTTGCTATAAACAAACAAGTGTATGCCCGATGTAAAGAAGAGGGTTTCAGTAGCGATCCGACTATGATGCTGTATTTAGGACTGAAATATTCCTCGTTGCCATTAACGACAAATGTATGTCCACTGTGAAGTGGCGCATTTCAGAAGCGCCCAGACTGTAATGCTGAATTACAGAACATAGCATTGCTTCTCTGTGTATTATCGGAAAAAGTTGGGTTTTTTGGGGTTTTTTTGTTTCTGATTTTACATGCTTATTCCCTTTGCATAAACATGACTGCCTATGATCGTGGTCACTCCCTCTGTCCCGTGAGCAGAGGAAACAAAGTAGGAATATATAAATGGTCCCTCAGAAGGCATACACACAAGGAAATGAAAGAGTGTCATGACCTCATAATATTGCGAGAATATTATTTTGAGAATATTTTATGGCGCCTTAAGATATGCACTGATTTTTTAAAGATTATCGTCACAATATAATCAAATTCAAATTCAAATTCAAACTGCTAATAATGATTGGTAATGCGTTTGTTTTTTTACGCAATTTAGATATCTGAAGAACAGTGTTCTCTGTGACCCTAATACGTTTTTAAACAGCATCTATTCACCCTTGAAAAGAAGTATATTGCCTGCTCAGGTAAAAGATAATAAATTCATACAGTCCATGTCACATGACACTTTTATTACTTCATGATAACAGGTACTTTTTGCCGTTAAGTGTACATGTCCTATAGTTAAGGCTGTTTAGTTCGGTTCTGAAGAACTGAGTGGGTATGGTTTTACGCCGCTTTTAGCCATAAGCCAGCAATATCACTGCGGGGGACACCAGAAATGAGCTTCACACAAAATATATATAAGAGGAATCGAACCCGGGTCTTCGGCATGACAAGCGAACGCTTTAACCACTTGGTTGCCTCACCGCCCCCTGTTCTGCAGAAGCAGGGGCGATGTGGTTAAACTGGTTCAAAATGGTGCGGAAACATGCCTGTTGGCAACAAAACAACTGTTCAAGTCTGTAACAAAGCAAATAAAACTCATTGCCATCTGTCTTCAGGACACCGGCAATATTTATGAACAGCAAATAGTTAATAAAGCAAATAATACGCTTTGTAATAAATACTTGTTGAGCATTTATTTGCTGGTGTCACATTTTATGTTAATTACATGTATGGTGCTCTTAATTATCTGTATGTGTGTCACTTGATTGTCTGGTTTGTCTACAGGCTGACGTCGCATGGCGGCAGTCCTGCTGTGCTGCGTCAGGCAATAAAAACTTACTTTTTATGCAAATTTTATTAATGGCGAGTGCAACCGGTTGGGCAGGATATGTTTACCCTGTTCGAGAACACCTAGTGTCATCACTGCTTTTAAGGGGTCCATTCATATTATTTCCACAGCTATTTGCCTTTTTCTCCAAGTGGAATCTGTTTCGGCAAAAAATCTAGGTTGGTTATTCTCTTGCATTGACAATTTATTTTTATCAATAATGCTCATGTAATCCAAGCTTCCTTTGGGATAATAAAGTGTTATCTTATCTTATCTTAACTTATCTTATAGTACGCCTTAGTGTAACTGGTTACTTCAGCTTTGCCCTAAAGGTTGCCATCAACGTTCACTTCAAACGCTGGGTAATCCCAAATCGCGGCTTACGTCATTGTGCTATTGTTAGCGTCACTGGTTGTTATACATGTATGACCTAACTAATAGCTGTAACACGGGTGTCGTGTGACGTACTTTGGTCACATGTTACCTCATGTCTTCAGGTTATCGGTCGATGGCATCCTTTAGACAAACGGCCTATTTTGGAACAGTGGAATGAGGATGCTTATCATCTTTCCGACACCCTCAATGATGCCGTTCTTTGAGTAAGTGAGACTAAAATGGGAATCCATGAAGGCTTGTGTGCATGAATATGACCATCAATTATCAGTTTGTGACCATGCTGTCAGACTGTTTATCAGTTAGTCACCGTACCCCGATTTCGTGTAACGTTGCCTACACTCTCACCATACCTCCGCCGTGGGGATTATGGGTTACAATTGGCCATATGTTGGTAATAAGAGGCGACTTAATGGATCGGGTGGTCAGTGAGTGAGTGTGTATGGTTTTATGCCTTCTGTTGGTAATATTCCAGCAATATCACGGCGGGGGACACCAGAAATGGGCTTCACACTTTGTACCCATGTCGGGAATCGAACCCGGGTCTTCGACGTGACGAGTGAGCGTTTTAATCACTAGGCTACCCGACTGCCCCGAGATCGGATGGTCAGGATCGGTGACTTCTTTAATTTCCGTGACATCGTAACCCGACAGCGTTGCTCGCTCACAATACCAATAATTTTATTGTCTGGTCCAGACTCAATTATATTTTACTTACAGGTCACCGTCATTTAGTTGACACAAACAAAGCTAAAAAAATACACACAAACAACATCCATCACTAGTTAGGCTGATTCACGCTGTTATATAAAATCGCTGATTCGAGCGAAATGTAGCATTCCTTCATACCAGCGCATTTTTGCCTGTGTACATCGAATATAGTGACTTGGAATGGAGTGAGTGAGTGTATATAGTTTTACGCCGCTTTTAGCAATATTCCAGCAATCTCACGGCGGGTAATACCCGAAATGGGCTTCACATGTTGTACCAAATGAGAATCGAACCCGAGGGTTCGGCACAACAACTATACCAGCCAACCGCCCGACTTGGAATGGATCAAGAGTGTGAATGAAGTGTAAGTTGTGTTTTGTGCTGTTTTACATACTATTTCAGTTATAGCCCGATGTGTGAGCTTGTTGTGAAAGGTAAGCAGGTATCGTGACAGCATCATGCTTTCAAACCTAGAAACATTATCAGAGCGAACTCGGATTCAGACCCATGATAAAAGGTTTCTAGCACACCTAATAATAATGGAGTATGATTATCCCCCGACACGTTTATCAGATAGGAACAAACATAGTCTTCTGAAGTGAAACACATTGAGACATATGATACAGTCTGGCTACTTTATTTCAAATTGGTTATTTTCTATGATCCATTTTGTGTCATCTCTGAGAGCAAATCGTCGAGTTGCCTCCTTCGCGATGTTCCGGTTGGTGAGAAGATGCTGGAATGTAGAACAGAAAATCACGTCATCGCCATTTTCAACACCTCATCATCCACATTCCCAATCATCAGTTATCAGCACTTTCACAGCCAATCACACACGCCATCATTATCAATCATAATCAATAATTATCAACATATCTATAGTAAGAAAAAATATGTCATCCTCATCCTCTTTCTCATCATCATCCTAGTCCAAAATACACAATCATCAGTCGTCATCTACACCGATCACCATCATCAATTAATCAAAATCATTATCATCAAACAATGCTCCTCATAGACAATAATTATCATCGTTTTCATCAACATCTTAAATAAGAACTCCAGGGGGATTGTGGGTTAGTACTGGTCCCAAGAAACCTTTGTTGGTCATAAAATGGATTTTATGGATCGGTGGTCCAGCTCGGAGACTTGGTTGATGTTTTGTCGTCGTACCTCGAGAATATCAATCACGGGGTAGTCTGGTACTCGTTCAACAACAAACACACAGTTATTTCAGTACAATAAATTGTCAACTATTGATACAATTTACCACCGATACACTATATCGAAATATACTGAGCATTGTTGTGTGTTTTATGTTGAAGTTAGCATAATAGTCACTGGCACTACCTGTGGGCTGGGACGAATGTTGTTCTTGCCGGGAGTCGGGATCTGGTTCTGGGGAACTATCTGAGTCCGTCTTTTCTGATATTGGTGTGAGAGATCGAGTATCTTTTATTCCTTTGTCATCGAGATTTGGAACTGCAGCAGAAAAGGAATACTTAACATAAACATATATTTGAGTGAGTGAGTGAGTGGTTTTAGCTATATATTTCAGCAATATCATGGCGGGCGACACCAGAAATAAGCTTCACATATTGCATCCATGTGGGGAATCGAACCCGGAACTTCAGCTTGGCGAGCGAACGCTCTATCCACTAGGTTACCCCAGCACCCCGAGTATTTTTTTAAGACCGTCGGGGCATATATTGGTAAAGGTAGAGAGAAAATGGTAAATTTTAACATTTGTCAATAAAGTCCAGAGGGTCACCTGAACGATGAAACAAATATTACATGATTCGGGCACAAACTCGACTTACCTGATTTATTTAATTGATCGGAGCCAAAAAAAGATGCGACGTTTACGAATACAATTTTCGAATATAGAACCGTCACTAGAACATTTGCATAGATTAAGGCCGATCATTTTACCGTGATATTAATACACACACGTAAGATGTTTCATTTATCCAAATAGCGGTTCAATGTACAGTCATCGCCACAAGGTGACCACATACGTACAGTTCGAAACAGAATACTGTCGCAATCAACAAATAACACTAAATGATACCATATTCTGATTAGTATAAGCTGCATTGGCTGAAACCCCAATAATTGTCAGAGAGAGTGAGTGATGTTTGACCGCTGTAAAAGTAATATCACGGAGTTTCAGCTGTATGTAATAGGAATACGTATGAAATGCAGGGGATGTAGTGATTCATAAACTCAAGGTTATGACACTCGAAATCGTACATTGGACTCTGCTTTTAGCAGTGATTGCATATAATTACGGAAATGATTTTGTGGCTTTTACAAGAGACACGTCGATTTGTCTTTCGGTCATCAAATGTTAACAGAAAAAAACGAAACCGTTTGGGCTGACCTGCCCACCGCTGTACAGTACACAACGAACTCAAAGGGACCACTAAATTAAGTTCGTTATAACCGTAGTTCGTTATAAGCATATATACAACATAACTACAGCAATTAGTCGGACAAAAAAGTAAGTTTGCTATATCCGTCAGTTCGTTATAAGCGTGTTCGTTATAAACGTAGTTTACTGTACTCCAGATGGGACTGTCGCAACATGTGGTTCAGCAACATTTGCAGTCCTCAAGACAACTACCATTTCAAAAACAAATAATTTCTTACTAACACCACAAAAAAATTCAAGTTAAAGGTCATTTTCCTTTTGAACCCATCTCTGTGCAGTATTTCTTTAAAAAATATATTAGATAATATTTGAAAGATTTGCACACAATGAAAATCATCACGTCTCAATTATCGATTGTCACTTTGAATAATATGTCATAGGAGAAACAATGTTCCTTTTTGTTGATATTTGTATGTGTTCTACGTAAATGTAAATATACCTGCTATAAACATGGTCCTAAAGGTTTGGTACATAAACTCTCCAGTATTTCCCAAGGTGTTGATAAAGTCTCCTCTCTTCATTGCAATCAACTGATTTCCAGTCACTGTTTCAAAGGCTTGGCTAATCATGTGATGGTCCTCTTCGCCCACGTTGTTTGCCCTGGCGACGGAGTCTACCCATCCTGCTACTTCGGCCGTTGTCCAGTGCTCTGGGTGGAGGATTGTCCAGCGCGGTGCAGGATCTGGTCAAGAAATGTTAATTTTGAACGTACAATATTTATCTTTTTTTATGTTTTTATTTATTACAATTGCCTTTCATATGTTAGGGATGGTGTAATTGCACAATTGTATCTGCAGGTGCAGTTTTATCGTTACAATAGTATGTTCGGAATAACGATGAGCTATAACGTGAACACTGTATATTTCAACAAGATGATAAAGAATATATTTGTTATGTATCATGCATACATCGTTTGGTGTTACCCATAAATAGAAGTACACAATCAACAATCGATATACTATAATTATACTATTACAAAAGCCTGTTTTTTTTGGGTTATATTTCATATTTAGAGCAATGGTTGTGCGTTATTTTAAAACATCATGCCAGCATACTACGGATTTCAAAACATGTTTTATTCCATCAACTTTAATATTTATCTCTATTGCATGCGTGGTCTAATCATGAATACTGATTGTTAGATATATATATTGGTTTGTTGTAACTGGGTTAGACTATTTGAGGAAAATTAAAATTGGCAAATGACAACCGTGATGCATTTAATACAGAATACATTTTCCAGAATAACAATCATTGATGAATGCTGGTAAATGATATGGAAATTGTCTTGCAAAGTATTCAGAATTGTACGCAAAAATTGTCGGAGAACATTAACCTCATTATTTTATTTCTTACATTATTATTTGATTTCTTCAAAAACATGAACGAGGAAACGGCAGATGACTTATATGTCGATAACTTTTAGAATATAAACGCTGAAGACAACACAGTACTTACAGTGTGATAACAAGAGATAAAGTGATGGATTCTTGAACAATAACATAGCTCCGGGACTTGATAATATCCTCAACAATTATATTTCAACCACCATTGATGTATTCATGGAGGTATATGTACAACTTTTTTTCATTATAGATCTCGACGCCATATCATCCCAGGCAAATGACAAACAGGTGTTATCAAGACAATCTTTGGGAATAAAGGGAATCGAAAAAAATGTTATAAATACCCGTTTTCAAATATTATTGAAACAAATTTAATCTGATCTGAAGCTCAAGCACGTTTTAGAAAGGAAACTAGTACCAGCGATCATATATTTACCTTATATAGCTTATAGTAAAATAATGAAAGTGGGGAAAAAGAAATTATTTTGTTGATTTCGAAAAAGCATTTTAAATAAATAAATCGACAAAACCCTTTCCATATCCAAAAGAAATCTTTGCGTAAATTAAAGTAGAGTCGATTGTACGATTCCGACTATGTCGTATGTATGTGTGTTTATGAATAACTATCAAATAGAGATGATACCAGGTATGCGCGAAAAGGTGAGCGTGTCCTCCCCACCGGTAGCACCCGTCACAAACACATGCAAAGTCAAGTCAATTGTCCGCCTGGTACAAGTCATTCGTCATATTTATCATAAAATAGAATCATGTATTTCTTGTGATAGAAATCATACAAACTTCATCTCATGTAAGTCTTTTGCAAGTCAACAGTCACCTCTTTTCTTTGCGTTGTTCCTAAATTACCTTGACTCAAGACTAAGATAAATTATATGATCGAATAGAGAATGTTATAACTATACATTATTGTATGCAGATGACGGAGTTCTGTTGGCATCAAATGCAAAGGATTTACAACATACGTTAGACTCATTTGATATGTATGGTAAAACCGGGAGGATTGTTATTGATACTTCCAAGACTACAGTAATGTGTTCCGGGGGTCTAAAAGTGATTACTAAAGCAGTGGGTGAAATGACATTAGAGCACGTGGGATCATATAAATACCTTGGTGTTATTATGCATACAATTTGAAAATTTACTTGTACGACGCAAAATTAATATTCTGTGCCAAGGGCGGAAATTACATTTGTCAATTGAATGTCAACTAAGACGTTTTGACGCCATGGTTAAACTAATTCTTCTCTACGGTAGTGAGATATGTGTATTTTAAAATATTCTTTTCACAGAAACTAATCATTTTTATTTTCTTAAACACCTGACGTCAGAGAAGTGTTCTCCAAATAACATTATATATGGTGAACTTGGAAAATCTCATCTCTCTAACTTATTCAATATAAGAATATTTCTATTTACATGTATGCTAACTTTCTGTCTGGGAAAAAAACATCTAAATTATCTTTCAATATGTATACATTACGTAATATAATGGGAAAATGTAAAAATAATGGATGACATGCACGAAACGAATTTGTGACTCACAAGGCCCTAGTTACATATGGATATTACAAGATGTTCAAAGTCAAGCTATCTTAGAAAAGAAATGTAGGTAAGGATGAATAAATTGATATTAAATGCAACTCAAATGCAATCCTATATAGCTGCAAGTGAACAATCTTTAAAAGGCACCATGCCTAAAATTGTGAAAAAAGGATTATTATAAATTGTGAGATTTTGAACTTATTACGCATGGGAATGTTTGGATTTTTTAATCACCTTCTTGGATGTGTTACTTTCATTTAAATGTAATTATAAAGACGACTTGCTGAAGATTTGATGAATTCGAATCGTTTTTCTCTTATTCATGTGTGATCTGTTTTTGATATGCATATACATATTCAAAACATGTCTACAAGCAGATCAGTGTTCGGTGAGAGTAGAGAGACAACTTTGATTTCTTTTCCCATGCTGATTGTTACACACGAGTACATGAAATGGTTTATTTAAACCAGTTGAGATTATTTCAGGAAAACCCAAAAAATGGTTAATGATGCATGTTTTGTAAAGCATTTAATACAAAAGATATACACCAACTCATAATGTACATCGCGGTAAGACAGTAAGTCAAAGCGGTAATGTTGATTAATTTTGAGGGTCAAGAACTTCAATATTTTTAGTTGTTGCTGAAGATTTCAGGAATTTCTTTGGATAATTGGCCAATGAAGAAAACTCAGGACGCGTTTTTCATGCTGGCGTTTTGATGTCATATTGGGCCAATTGTATTTATATATTCAGCTTGCCAGTAAAGTATTTGTAACATATAATCGTTTCTGATCATAATGTCTTTCGTTTCTAAGAACTAATTTTCAAGCACTTTATTACCATATGCTCGTCTAGGCGCAAATCCGTACACCGTTACCTCATACCAAGGAGACGTTCTCGGATTTTCAACAGTGCAAACTAATGTATGCTTTATGATAGTAATGTAGCTGAGACACACTTTAAGGCAACTTTTATACATTAAACATTTGATATCGGTTTATTAATAGTCAGTGACAAAGAAAACTAAAAACCGCGTTTTAAATCCATCGTATATTTTGATTATTTCCTACAATGTTTTCTACGATTTTATAATGGGTAAAATATCATTGCTCTTTGTTTATTTATACCATACAGACCAGGGCAATAATGTATATATGTTCATTGACAAGAATGATAGAAAAATTAAAATACTTCAAACATAGACACAAATGATAACAAATATGAGCAGTATAATCATCAGTTGAAATATGATATACGCTATGAAATGCAATTAAGAAGTTAGCGTTACAAATTAGTAAACAAACCATTACCATATTCAGGAGAAATACATGCTAAAACAGAGACAATTGAACGATTCCAAATATATCATGAGTATGTGTTTATGGACCACTATTACATAGTGATGATACCAGGTGTTCGCGAAAAGGGGGCGTATCTATCATGTCCCACCAGTGGCACCCGTCCCAATCACTCTCAGAGGCAAGTCAAATATGGTACAAGTCAAAATGGTGAACCGCATCGGACATAATTTTTGTCAATGAAGCATCAAATTTGGAAATGTTCTCCACTTGTCTACTATAAAACATTTGGCCGCTTTAATGGGTTCCTGAATGTTGTAACCCTGATTAAACAAGTTTTGAGTAAGAGTCGCATGATGCTCCTTGAAATCTTCGAAGAAAAAATATTCTCGATTGTATCTCAAACGCTGTGAACAGAAGACACCAAAGGCGGAAGCTGATGAAATAGTGCTCGACATTAAGGGAAAGTTGACTATTGGAAAGTTGAAGTCATCCCTGTTCTCATACAGTCGTTGGAGAGTTGTTTTGACTCTGAATCTCTTTACATAGATCTAAATATGAAACAGATCACAATTAATAAACAGATCAGCAAGAAGTTGAACACAATTGATGCCCAAGGGAATGCATAAACAAGCTAACTTAATGTGCCTTTGACTTCTAGTAATTGTACGGGAAAATTCTTGGGACATATCTCGTTGTAGACCATGTGTTTTACATCTGTTGTGGAAATAATGTTCGCTGCCAGATAATAAACACATTCGTTTAACAATCTATGAAATGCACACCGATCCTGAGAATTATACACATATCAAATCAACGGTGTTACTGTGGGGAGCTATCAATGCTGATGACCATGATTTGAAAAACAAAATCAATTTGAATTAATTCTTTAATTCGGATGACCTTGATTTGAAACAAAAAATAAAAATGTGTCGCGATTAATAAACGGTTTACCCGTAGAAAAAAATGGATATCAAGTAGCATAGATAACATTGGTCTGGTCAAAGCATTTTTGTCAAACTTTGATATTTTTTTAGATGTTTAACAGTGATACGTGTCACAAGGTGAAGACATGTGATTATCTAACATCAGACAAATACATAAAAAATGCCTACATAGACATACAACTTATTTCAACGGATCACGAAATTAACATTGTACAACCAATTGGCAGTGAGTCAGCGCACGATGCTGATGTGTTTACAGATAAAGCGCTTAAGAAAATTAAAACTTTTATGTCAAGATCAAATCACAAACTCTTGAAAGCCAAGGTTATCTTTAAAATATAGTTAGGGATAAACTAAATGATATCTAGTTGCAATCCTGGGTAGCTGCAAAAGATAAATCTTCCAAAGAATCCATTACATAATTGTAAACAAGTGATTGTTTAAATTTTGAAAACTATTTAGTTGATACAGATGAAAACGTTAGGAGAATTTCACTAAAGGTGAGGACACCCAATCACAATTTACCAGTTGAGACAGGCAGATGAGGAAAATACCATAAACTGCAAGAAAATGCCCACTCTGCCAACCGTGTGACATAGGAGATGATTCTCACTATTTGTTTATCTGTCCATCATTTGAAAAAGAGAGGAAATAACTCACAAATATTATTATATTGAACCTAACATGTTTAAAATGAATTGACTTTCTAATAGCTCAGGATTAGAAACATCGAGAAAACAATCGTAAGTTGTGTAAAATAATCTTGATAAAAGTTGAGCCTGGAAATAATATTTCATGAATGTGTGTACAAACTTTCACTTGACCTGATCCGATCGCTCGGAAAAGATGTTCATGATATGGTAATATTGTTTTCATTCAGTCGGAACTACTTTACTTTGAACATATGATATACATATCTGAACACCTTGAACATATAATGTAGCATATCAATATGTACATTTTAACATGTTAAACATTTTAATTTAACATGAATTAAACATTAACTTCGGTAATGAAATTGATCAGCGATACACATTTTTGTTCTGGTTTTCTTTGCCTGCTACAAGGAGCGACAAATCCAGTGTCAATGAACCCTAATTGGTCCGACACCCTATTTCAAACCTCTGCCATCGAGTGATTCTGAGCCATAGATACATTTTTCTTGGTAGCGTCAATGATCACGTCCATTTCCATAGTAAACGGCAAGTGATGTATGATGTAAATCATATAATATCTTAACGAAAACTATCCTCTATTTTCAACATAACATTTTCAAAATAAATAATTTTGTTTCACAAAAGCCTGGTTTTAATTCATAATGAAAATGATTATCACTTTATATAATTTATAAAGTGGTATTTCATTTTCAAAGTATATTCAAACGCTGATAGTTGATATGTATGCTTTGGCATATTTGCATCAATATCGCCTTTGGATAATTAATGAGATTAAATAAATAAATAAATAAATAAATAAATAAATACATACATACATACATACATACATACATACATACATACATACATACATACATACATACATACATAATTAAATAAATAAATAAATAAATAAATAATGTGATGAATGAATGAATGAATGAATGAATTTGTATAAAACATATATTATGCATTCTAAAAAAAATAATATATGAATAAAGATATAAATAAATATATAAATCAATGATACATAGCCATCTCTTATACATTTCCACCCTGGGAGTCATAACTGACTGCATTTAGTTACAGACCATGTTAATGCGATCACGGTGGTCATACTGTACATGTTAAGTATCTTGTGCTGGGGAAGTGTAAACGATACGAAAACATAAGGGAAGTATGTTTCCCTTCATATTTCGTATAATCCATCTGGTAAAGGTTTTCTGCGACTGTTGTAGTGTACATACACAAAGGCTCTAATGTGTATTGTTTTTTTCTGAAAATTGTTAAGAAAATAAGGAACCTGCCACTCGTTGTGTGAACCTCTTTCATAGTTCTGTTAGTGTCAATAATAAGCCTTGATTGTTTTGCTATTCTGTATACAGATTGTTGACAGATACATAACATAACATAACATATTGCCTTGAGTACAGAAATATAGTTATGTCCGCCCGTCTGTCTGTCTGTCTGCTACAAATTGCCGTAATTTCAGAAAATGATAAATTTCGTCACCGCCTCAATCGTATCACATACATGTTTACTCATGGAAAGGTAGTACATGTATTGACTATCGTGGCTATAATGACTCAAGTAAGTAGTATCGAGGCTATACTTACTCAAATAATTAGGTTGGAGGCTACACGTACTACAGTAAGTAGTATCGAGGTAGAAGAGGTATGTGCTTATTACGTACATCGGATACCAACCAAGGCTTAAATATCACGCTAAATGTCACATGACATTTCCAAAGGTAAAGCTAGACCAAGTCACTTCTCTTCATGCCCAGTGCACATAATGTCTTGCACGGCTGAATCTTTAATATGTAGATATGGTAACATGCAGGGAGAAAGCAGCGCACCCTGACCCAACTGTGAGGATGAATGGCACACGAGTGTGTTCCCATTAAGTACAATGCAAATCGTAAATAACAAAGAATGTTTGAAAGTTTGAATGCATATCAAATTAAAGCAACTGCCTATCTATGTTCTATAGACATGTCTTATATTATACTTATAAGTGTAAATTAGTGGAATAACAGGTCGACATAACAACGGATAATTATGTTACTTTTCAGACTGCATAGCAATCGACCCGTTCCCCTGCCATGTGCGTGTCTGTCCGATGTGGGAGGGTGCTCTTAATATGAAGCTGTCAGCTGGGCAGTCAATGAGTGCAGTGTGCCGTTGTGTGAGACTGACCTACTCGTCAGCAATATATCAGGAAAATTGGTGAAATAAAAGTACAGCTGCGAAAACGAGATATTACCTCGATATATTGTATCCGCCATTGTTGAAATTTGGTTTGCCAGTCACGTGATGAGTGTTTGAGGTCAAAGGTTGTTAAAATTTGTAAACAAAGCCGTCGTTCAGCTTTCGTGTTTGCGTATAACGTGTTCGGGCAATTTGAGGCAGCATGAATTTGGGGAATGTTATCCACGTAACGCTGCAACTAAAGTTAATGATAAATGGATTAATTGGGGATTGATTATACAATGGGTATGGTTGCTTATGACGGTGATAGGGATGGTGGTAGAGGCGGAGTGGAGGAGTGGTGTCAGAGGTGGGGTAGGATGGAGGCGGTAGCGGTAGAGTGGTAGTGATATCGGTGGATTGAGGTGGTGTGGTAGTGGTAGTGGTAGAGGTGGGTTGGGATTGGATTGGGGTGGTAGTAGTAAAGGTGGGGTGAGATTGGGTTGGGATGGTAGAGGCTGGGTGGGGTAGGATGGAGGCGGTAGCGGTAGAATGGTAGTAATATCGGTGGATTGAGGGTGGGGTGGTAATGGTAGAGGTTGGCTGGGGGTGGTAGTGGTAGAGGTGGGGTGGGGGTGGTAGAGGTTGGGTGGGATTGGGGAGGTAGTCGTAGAGGTGGGTTGGGATTTGGTGGGGTGGTAGTAATAGAGGTGGGTGATGGTGATAGTGATAGAGGTGGGGTTTCATTGGGTGGGGTGGTAGAGGTGGGTTGGGATTGGGTGGGGTGGCAGTTGTAGAGGTGGGATGGGATTGGATGGTGGTGGTAGTGGTAGGGGTGGGGTGCGATTGGGTGAGGGTGGTAATGGTAGAGGCGGGGTTGGATTGGATGGTAGAGGCGGGCTGAGATTGGATGGGGGTGGTAGTAGTAGAGGTGGGTTGAGATTGGGTGGGGGTGGTAGTGGTAGAGGTGGGGTGGGATTGGGTGGTGGTGGTAGTGGTAGAGGTGAGGTGGGATTGGGTGGGGTGGCAGTGCTAGAGGAGGGGTAGGATTGGGTGGGGTTGTAGTGATAGAGTTGGGGTGGGATTAGGTGGGGGTGGTAGTGGTAGAGGTGAGGTGGGATTTGGTGGGGGTGGTAGTGGCAGAGGTGAGGTGGGATTGGGTGGGGTGGTAGTGGTAGAGGTGGGTTGAGATTGGGTGGGGTTGGTAGTGGTAGAGGTGGGGTAGGATTGGGTGGAGGTGGTAGTGGTAGAGGTGAGGTGGGATTGGGTGGGGTGGTAATGATAGAGGTGGGGTAGGTTTGGGTGGGGGTGGTAGTGGTAGAGGTGGGTTGAGATTGGGTGGGGGTGGTAGTGGTAGAGGTGGGGTGGGATTTGGTGGTGGTGGTAGTGATAGCGTTGGGGTGGGATTGGGTGGGGGTGGTAGTGGTAGAGGCGGGGTGGGATTGGATGGTAGAGGTGGGCTGAGATTGGTTGGGGGTGGTAGTAGTAGAGTTGGGTTGAGATTGGGTGGGGTTGGTAGAGGTAGAGGTGGGGTATGATTGGATGAGGTGGTATTGATAGCGTTGGGGTGGGATTGGGTGGGGGTCGTAGTGGTAGAGGTGTGTTGGGATTGGGTGGGGGTGGTAGTAGTAGAGGTGGGTTGAGATTGGGTGGTGGTGGTAGTGGTACAGGTGAGTCGGGGTTGGGTGGGGTGGCAGTGCTAGAGGTGGGGTAGGATTGGGTGGGGTGTTAGTGATAGAGTTGAGGTGGGATTAGGTGGGGGTGGTAGTGGTAGAGGTGAGGTGGGATTTGGTGGGGGTGGTAGTGGCAGAGGTGAGGTGGGATTGGCTGGGGGTGGTAGTGGTAGAGGTTGGTTGAGATTGGGTGGGGTTGGTAGTGGTAGAGGTGGGGTAGGATTGGGTGGAGGTGGTAGTGGTAGAGATGAGGTGGGATTGGGTGGGGTGGTAATGATAGAGGTGGGGTAGGTTTGGGTGGGGGTGGTAGTAGTAGAGTTGGGTTGAGATTGGGTGGGGTTGGTAGAGGTAGAGGTGGGGTAGGATTGGATGAGGTGGTATTGATAGCGTTGGGGTGGGATTGGGTGGGGTCGTAGTGGTAGAGGTGTGTTGGGATTGGGTGGGGGTGGTAGTGGTAGAGGTGAGTTGGGATTGGGTGGTGGTGGTAGTGGTAGAGGTGAGGTGGGATTGGGTGGGGTGGCAGTGGTAGAGGTGGGTTGAGATTGGGTGGGGGTGGTAGTGGTAGCGGTGTGTTGAGATTGGGTGGGGGTGGTAGTGGTAGAGGTGGGGTGGGATTGGGTGGTGGTGGTAGTGATAGTGTTGGGTTAGGATTGGGACGGGGTCGTAGTGGTGGAGATGAGGTGGGATCGGGTTGGGGTGGTAGTGGTAGAGGTGAGGTGGGATTGGGTGGTGGTGGTAGTGATAGTGTTGAGGTAGGATTGGGTTGGGGTGATAGTGGTAGAGGTGAGGTGGGATTGGGTGGGGGTGGTAGTGGTAAAGGTGGGGTAGGATTGGGTGGGGGTGGTAGCAGTGGAGGTGGGTTGAGATTAGGTGGGGGTGGTAGTGATAGAGTTGGGGTAGGATTGGGTGGGGGTGGTAGTGGTAGAGGTGAGGTAGGATTGGGTGGGGGTGGTAGTAGTAGAGATGGGTTGAGATTGGGTTGGGGTGGTAGAGGTGGGATTAGGTTGTGGTGGTTGTCATAGAGTTGGGTAGGATTGGATGGGGTGGTAGTGATAGAGGTGGGGTGGGATTGGTAGGGGGTGGTAGTGGTAGAGGTGGGGTGGGATTTGGTGGTGGTGGTAGTGATAGAGTTTGGGTAGGATTGGATGGGGTGGTAGTGATAGAGTTGGGTGGGATTGGGGGGGATGGTAGTGGTAGAGGTGAGGTGGGATTGGGTGGAGGTGGTAGTGGTAGAGGCGGGGTGGGATTGGATGGTAGAGATGGGCTGAGATTGGTTGGGGGTGGTAGTAGTAGAGGTGGGTTGAGATTGGGTTGGGTTGGTAGTGGTAGAGGTGGGGTAGGATTGGATGAGGTGGTAGTGATAGAGTTGGGGTGGGATTGGGTGGGGGTCGTAGTGGTAGAGGTGTGGTGGGATTGGGTGGGTGTGGTAGTGGTAGAGGTGACTGGGATTGGGTGGTGGTGGTAGTGGTAGAGGTGAGGTGGGATTGGGTGGGGTGACAGTGGTAGAGGTGGGGTAGGATTGGGTGGGGGTGGTAGTAGTAGCGGTGTGTTGAGATTGGGTGGGGGTGGTAGTGGTAGAGGTGAGGTGGGATTGGGTGGTGGTGGAAGTGATAGTGTTGGGGTAGGATTGGGACGGGGTGGTAGTGGTGGAGATGAGGTGGGATTGGGTGGGGGTGGTAGTGGTAGAGGTGGGGTAGGATTGGGTGGGGGTGGTAGTAGTAGAGGTGGGTTGAGATTAGTTGGGGGTGGTAGTGATAGAGTTGGGGTAGGACCGGGTGGGGGTGGTAGTGGTAGAGGTGAGGTGGGATTGTGTGGGGTGGTAGCAGTAGAGTTGGGGTAGGATTGGGTGGGGGTGGTAGTAGTAGAGATGGGTTGAGTTTGTGTTGGGATGGTAGAGGTGGGATTAGGTGGTGGTGGTTGTCATAGAGTGGGGTAGGATTGGATGGGGTGGTAGTAGTAGAGGTGGGTTGAGATTGGGTGGGGGTGGTAGTGGTAAAGGTGGGGTAGGATTGGGTGGGGGTGGTAGTGGTAGAGGTGAGGTGGGATTGTGTGGGTCGGTAGTGGTAGAGGTGGGGTAGGATTGGGTGGGGGGGGTAGTAGTAGAGGTGGGTTGAGATTGGGTGGGGGTGGTAGTGATAGAGTTGGGGTAGGATTGGGTGGGGGTGGTAGTAGTAGAAGTGGGTTGAGATTAGGTGGGGGTGGTAGTGGTAGAGGTGAGGTGGGATTGGGTGGGGGCGGTAGTGGTAGAGGTGAGGTGGGATTGGGTGGTGGTGGTAGTGATAGAGTTGGGGTAGGGTGGTAGTGATAGAGTTTCGGTGGTGTGGAATTGGGGTGGAGATGGTAGAGGTAGAGGTCGGGTGGGGTGATAGTGGCTGAGTGGTCTCAAAGGAGCAAACAACTTTTCAGTGACGTTATCATCTCATCCTGCAATACATATACTAAGTTGGATGCACAAAATAAGCCTTACCTTTATCCAGGGTTTGTCGTACGATAGTCACAAGGGTGAAGTTTCCATGTAATGAACAAGTTCATATTGTGTCCGTGCGGCTTGTCACCAGCCAAATAAAGGTCGTTAAAGGAAGCGCGTTCATCAGTCTCATATTTAGCCACATACATGTGCCGGGCGAGTCCAGCATACACATGACGAAATTCCCCCTTTCTTCCTGATTGGCTAGATTGTGACCAATCAGGAAGTGGGCAAAGGGAATTTCCCTACATAACCGCAATCAGGGTGTTTTAGCTTCCTGATTCATAAACTCGGAACAGCTCAGAGTACACTTTTTTCGTTATCTATTTACTTAACATTCTTGTGTTAATGAGAACTGATGATAAATCTACATTTATTAAA